TCTGTCCCCCACATACAAATGCAAGTCTTCCAGAATAAAACTTTCCTTTCTATAGTCATGACTGTGCATGACAGATCCTGCCACTCACACAGTGACAAAGGACACTGAGTCAACATTGCATGCCCCACATTCTGATAGCTTTAGGATATCTGCTGTGGCAAATTTAACATAGCAGGTTACTTTGCGCTCCTGGATTTGGTGCTGAAGTAGGAAAACGCCCGAAAGATATGAGATGGGTGTGTAAAGACTGTTCACAGAGAGGATCTAGAGGATAGCATAGAGGAGAGTGAGTGGGTGTAGGGAAGCCAACCAAGAAATGGTTGGGGGAGTCCAGGCGAACCTGGGCAATGGCTTTGAGACAGAAAAGAGCAAGTACTGATTAATCGGATACTTACTTGAGTCGTCTATAGCCTTTGCCTCTTGTTCTCTCAGAGCCTGGCTAGAGTCTTCACGTAGCTGTCATATCTCAGCAGGGGCAGGAAAACTAAAAACAAGCTTTCCTCTGTCCACTGCCAGGTCAGAGCTCTAGGGAGTAAGAGTTCACACTCATACAGCCGCCAATATGGATGTGGCAAAAGGTCCCGGCCAGGTCAGCTGCTGGTTTGTGCTTTAGTTAGATACATCCACCCATTCACCGGATGAATGACAGTAGGAATTACCTCCTGACTTACAAATAGAGATGTGGCCTCTACCTCAGTAGGAAAACAGTAGGTCATGGGTTCCTGGGCCATATGGTAGCCTTGACATTTGTTCCTTGTCTTACCTTCAGGATCTCCAGTGAAGTGATCCTCACAGACTTACCCTAGAATATTCTTGTGAGACTTCAGGAAAGAGCCTTCCCATAAAGCTGGCTGTGTGCCCAAATTGGAACAGACTGCCTTGAAGTTTTATCAGGAGTGAAAGAGGCCTTCCAGAGGCTTCTCTCCAACAGCACAAATAAAAATAAACACCCCAAAAAACACCCCCCAAAATTGAACATGTCCAAATCACTCCAGCCCGAGCCAGTGTGAATCTGGAGAGGATACTGCAGGACACCTGCTACCTGAGGGGAGGGCTGAAACTATCTTCCCTCCAAGCCAGCCACCAGAAGAGGCTCACAAGACTGCTTTGGCTCGAAAATGCTACCCCAACTGCAAGAATTGCAAGGGATGGGTCAGTATGAAAGGTGAAGAGCCCCATAGAAGAAAATCTGTTCATATGCCATTACTTAGTAGCAGTGTTGATTCAATCCCCTCTCACGAGATTCCCATCTGCTGTCCTACTCTGAGCTAGGACTTGATGACTTCAGCCCCAAGTCTCTAAAACCATGGAACTAATACCTCCTCACATTTGCAGGGCTGAGTATCATGTTTCCAAAGCTCCTAGTACACTCTGAACTGATGTTCTCAGGCATATCTCAGTGAAAGGAGGACCTGAAGGGATATTTTAATTCTTTTTATACTTTGAAATATTTATACAGAGGAGGCTGGGAAGAAACTCACTTTGTAAAATTCTCACCTCACCTACACAAAGCCCTGGGTCTGACCTCCAGCGCCACATCCACTGGTTATGATTGTGCATAGCTATAACCCCAGTTTTTAGAGGCAGACGTAAGAGAATCAGGAATTAAGAGTATCCTAGGCTCCATAAAAAGTGTGAGGGGGCTGGAGAGATGGCTGAGCAGTTAAGAGCATTGGCTGCTCTTCCAGAGGACCAAGGTTCAATTCCCAGCTTCCACATGGCAGCTCACAACTGTCTGTATCTCCAGTTCCAGGGTACCTGACACCCTCATACAGATATAAATGCAGGCAAAACCACCAATGCACATAAAAAATATATTAAACAAAAAATAACAAATTAAAAAAACAAAAACAAGCTCGAGGACAGCCTGGGCTAGATGAAACCCTGTCTCAAATAAATAAATAGCCAGGCATGCTGCTGTACACCTTTAAGAAGGCTAAGGTAGGCAGATCTGTGTGAGTTCTGGGATAGCCTGATCTGCATAATGAGTTCCAGGATAGCTAGCGATGCATAGAGAGACTGTCTCAAAACTAACTGGATAGATAGATAGATAGATAGATAGATAGATAGATAGATAGATAGATAGATAGATAGATAGATAAATGAATGATGTGCTGGCATCATCAATGAAATGGTTGTTGATTCTCCCCCCCAGGACACATCTAGAGCAATGCGGAGAAGAAGAAATGAGGAGTAAGACTAGGGAACACAGATATCAGTTACAAGTCAACAGTTCACACTGGGGCTGACAACCGGGCAGGACCTTTGTTATCAGGAAACCAAACAGGCTGAGAAGGTTGATGCAGAGGCAGGAGGAGCACTCCAAGTCCATATCAAGGCCAGTCTAAAGAAGAACGTGAGCTTCAGGCCAGCCAGAGCTTCATAATAATACCCATCTTTAAAAGTAACAACAGCAACTAGAAACCAGGAAGATGTGACACGATGCCACTGGACTCCACGGTTCTGGCCAGCGCCTCTCTCTGCTCTCTCTCATGCCAGCCTACTTATAACTCCTGCTGTCTGTGTGGGTCTGGCAGGGGTTTCTTTTGGACTTCTCTTTGATTGGCAGTGTTCAATCTGTGGTCAATGTCCTGGACTTCTTTCCCTTCTGTCAGCATTTATGACCAAAGCTCTTCCATGTCTTACTTCTGCTTAAGACCCAGAATCTTCCACCTACTGAGCAGAAGGTCCAGGACCCAGTTTAACCTGTCTTCCTGGTTCCCATTACCTCACATGATTCTTTGTCTTCCTCCTCCTGTGAGCTTTCTTGAACCAGTTCATGGCTCAGATAAATCTTCCACATCTGCCTAAAAGTTCAGAGGAATTCCTGAGCTCAGGAACACCACTGGCCCCTCCCCATTCAGTGCCTGAAAGGTGATTATCTTCCCATGGTAATGCTCAGTGAAAATGTCCTTTTTAATCAGATATATGTAAGCATATCTTATAGGAGCAAATGGTAAGTTTTATGTGTCAAATATGTAAAGTATATTTTGAGGCTGACAATCTCTAAATGAACTGTGAAATTTGTTATGCTGATTTGAGTTTCAGTGTTCTGGCCCACGCATAGAACACTCTTTTTAGATTTGGGCTTCTCTAAATCAATCAGATGTGGCAGAATAACATTTTGAGTCAACACACAAACACCCAAAGACATGAAAGTGGGAGGGGGCTATTTGGTAGGAAGAAGGGGTTCATTGGAAGAAATTATGGGACGTATTTGGTCAAAATACATTGTAAAAATTACTGGATGGATGAAACTAATTTGTGTATGTGCTGAATCTCTCCCTCTTTTTATTAGAAATAGATTGTTCTCTCAAATAATACATCCTGACCTGTTTCCTCTCCCTCCATTCCTCCCAGACCCCCCCACGAACTCCCCTTTCCACTGAATCCACTGCCTCTTCAGAAAAAAAGCAGGCCTCCAGACAGCAACCAAACACAACAAAACAAAATACAACAACACCAGGAAAAAGCCCTCACGTAGAAGCTGGACAAAGCAACCTAACAGGAAGAAAAGAGTCCTAAGAGGACCTGGCGCAGACCCCTGAAGGCCCAGTGCTTGCCACTTCCGTCTCTGTGAGCCCGTGTGAGCCCGTGTGAGCCCTGCTGAGTTGATTCAGTGGGCTGTGTGCCAGTGTCCTCCCTTCCCTCTGACTCCTACAATCTTTCTGTGCCCTCTTCTTCGGGATTCTTTGAGCTATGAGAAGATGGACTCAATGGAGTCCTCCAGTTTACACTCTATCTCCTCATAATGTCTGGCTGTGGGTCTCTGTTTTCATCTGCTGCCAGAGGAAATCTCTCTGACGACTATTGGTCAAGGCACCAAACCCAGGTGTGGTAGTTTGAATAAAAATGGCCTCCATAGGCCCATAGGAGATGGCACTCTTAGGAGTTTTGGCCTTGTTGGAGTAGGTGTGGCCTTGTTAGAGGAAGTATGTCACTGGGGGCTGGCTTTGAGGTCTCAGATGCTCAAGGCTTGCCCAGTGTGGCACTCTCTTCCTGTAGGATCAAGATGTAGGACTCTCAGCTGCTTCTCCAGCACCATGTCTGTCTTCATGCTGTTGTACTTTCCTGCCACATCATAATGGATTAAAACCTCTGAACTGTAAGCCAAACCCAATTAAAGGTTTTTCTCTATAGGAGTTGCCATGGTCATGATGTCTCTTCAAAGCAATAAAATCCTAAGACACTGGCCTCTGGTCTAACCAGTCTCAGGTTCCTGGCCATCCAAGCAGTGTCCAGCATGGGCTCCCTCTCATGGAGTGGGCCTCAAGTTAAATCAGACATTGGTTGGCCACTCCCAAAAGTTCTGTGCCACCGCTGTCCCAGCACATCTTGCAGGCAGGACAAATTGTAGGTCAAAGATTTTTGTGGCTGGGTTGGTGTCACTCGCTTGGTTAGAGTTATCCCAAGATATTTTATATTATTTAAGGTTATTGTGAAGGGTGTTATTTCCTTGATTTCTTTGTCAGTCCATTTATCATTTGTATATAGGAGGGCTACTGATTTTTTTTTTAGTTAATCTAGTATCTAGCCACTTTGCTGAGAGTGTTTATCAGCTGTAGGAGATCCCTGGTGGAATTTTTAGGGTCACTTATGTATATACTATGATATCATCTGCAAATAATGATACTTTGACTTCTTCCTTTCCAAATTGCATCTCTTTTAGTCATCTTATTGCTCTAGCTAAAACTTCAAGTACTATCTAGAATAGATATGGAGAAAGTGGACAACCTTGTCTTGTTCCTGATTTTAGTGGAATTGCTTTAAGTTTCTCTCCATTTATTTTGATGTTGGCTATAGGCTTGCTGTAAATTACTTTTATTAAGTTTAAATATGTCCCCTGAATAACTAATATCTCCAGAACTTTTATCATGAAGGGATGTCAAAGGCCTTTTCTGCATCTAATGAGATGAGGTGGATTATATTTGTTGATTTTTGTACATTGATCCACCCCTGCATCTCTGGGATAAAGCCTACTTGATCTTGGTGGATGATCTGTTTGATTTTTTCTTGAATTCAATTTTCAAGTACTTCATTAAGTATTTTTGGAACTATGTTCATAAAAGAAATTGGTCTATAATTCTTTCTTTGTTGAATCTTTATGTTGTTTGAGTATCAGGGTAACAGTGGCCTCATAAAAGCAATTGGGCAGTGTTACTTCTGTTTCCATTTTTTGGAATAATTTGAAGAGTATTGGCATTAACTCTTCTTTTAATGTCTGGTAGAATTCTGCACTAAAACCATCTGGCCCAAGGATTTTTTTTTTTGTTTGTTTGTTTTTGTTTTTGTTTGTTTTTTTACTTGGGAGACTTTCAATGACTCTATTTCACTAGAGCTTATATAGGTCTATTTAAATTGTTTATCTAATCTTGTTTTAACTTTGGTAAGTGATATCCATCGAGAAAATTATCCATTTCTTTTAGATTCTCCAATTTTGTGGAGTAAGGTTTTTAAAGTATGTCCTGATGATTCTCTGGATTTGCTCCATGTCCATTATGTCCCCTTTTTCATTTTTGACTTTGTTAATTTTGATCTTCTCTCTCCATCTTTTAGATAGTTTAGATAAGGGTTTGTCTATTTTGTTGACTTTCTCAAAGACTCAAGTCTTTGTTTCAATGTTTCTTTGTATTGTTCTCTTTTTTTATATTTTACTGATCTCAGACCTGAGTTTGATTATTTCCTGCCATCTACTCCTCTTAGATGAGCTTACTTTTTGTTTTAGAGCTTTCAGGTGTGCTAGTAGGTTGCTAGTATGAGATTTCTTTCTTTTTTTTTTTTAATGTAAGCACTTACTGATAATGAACTTCCCTTCTAACTTTCATTGTGTTCCATAAGTTTTGGTATGCTGTGTATTCATTTTCATTGAATTCTAATAAATTATTTAATTTTTTCTTATTTCTGTCTTGACCCACGTTTCATTCAGTTGAGGGTTGTTCAGTTTCATGAATTTGTAAGCTTTCTGTTGTTTCTGTTGTGGTTGACATCCAGCTTTTATCCGTAGTAGTCTGATAGAATGCAGGAAATTATGTTAATTTTCTTATATCTGTTAAGACTTGCTTTGTGTCTGAGTATATGGCCAGTTTTCAAAAAAGTTCTATGAGGTGCTGAGAAGATGGTTTGTGTGTGTGTGTGTGTGTGTCCCTTCTTTGTGTTTTGCTGGTGTGAGATTTTTTCCTGTGTTTTCATGGGTGTAGTTAATCTCCTTAGGCTGGAGTTTTCCTTCTGGCCCCTTCTATAGGGCTGGATTTGTAGATAGATGTTGTTTAAGTTTGGATTTATCGTGGAATATCTTATTTTCTTCATCTATGGTGATTGAAAGTTGTGCTGGGTCTGAGGTAGCATCTGTGGTCTCTTAGAGTCTGCAGGACATCTGTCTAGGCCATTCTGGCTTTTAGAGTCTTCATTGAGAAGTCAAGTACAATTCTAATAAGTCTACCTTTATGTGTTAGTTGGTCTTTTTCCCTTGAAGGTTTTAATATTCTTTTTGTTGTTGTTGTTGTTGTTCGGTATGTTTAGTGTTTTGATTATTATGTGGTGAGGGGACTTTCTTTTCTAGTCTAGTATATTTGGTGTTCTGTATGCTTCTTGTACCGTTATAAACATCTCCTTCTTTAGGTTAGGAAAATTTTCTTCTATGACTGAAAATACTTTCTGGGTCTTTAAACTGGGGGTTCTTTTCCTTTTTTTTATTCCTATTATTCTTAGGTTTTTGTTTTTTTTTTTTTTTCATAGTGTTTCAGATTTCCTGGATGTTTTATGTCAGGAAATTTTTTAGATTTAACATTTTCCTTAAGCAATGTATCCATTTCTTCTACCATATCTTCAAAGCCCAAGGTTCTCTCCTCCATCCCTTCTGTTCTGTTGGTGAAGCTTGCCTCTGTAGTTCCTGTTCAAATTCCCAAATTTTTCATTTCCAGAATTCCCTCAGTTTGTGATTTCTTTATTGCTTCTATTTCCATTTTCAGCTCTTGAACTGTCTTATTTGTTTCCTTCAACTGTTTGTATTTTCTTGAATTTCCTTGAGGGATTTATTCATTTCCTCCAGTTGTTTGTGTTTTCCTGGCTTTCTTTAAGGGATTTATTAATTTCCTCTTTAAGGACTTCTATCATCTTCATACAGGTGGTTTTAAGGGTTTTTTGTTTTGCTTTGTTTTTGTTTGTGTGTTTTGTGCTTCAACTAGGCTGGAATATCCAGGGCCTGCTGTGGTAGAATAGCTGGGCTCTAGTGGAGACGTATTGTCACGGCTGTCATTGTGTTTATACACTGGGGGTTAGGCACCTGTGTTTTGGCTGATTATAGGTCTAAGTGCTGACCTAGACCTAGGACTCTGGGAGTTCAGGAGAGGATGTTCTGTGGGAAAAAAATAAATGTGTTTAGCCCCAATGTAGATATTTAGAACTAAAAAGTTTCCTATATTATCATCTATAATAGCTCATCAATTTTACAATTCATGTAAAATTACAATTACAAATTAATGCAATGCCTTTCAGTCTTAGGATATCTCAAATTATGATTTTTTTTCATTTAGGCTAGTTTTAAATATCAGGGTTTTTTTTAAATATACATTGATCAAAGTAGTATGTATGCTGTTGATAATTTGGGCTTAAAAAAATTTTTTTTGAGACAAATTCTTACCATGTAGCCATGGCTGGTCTGGAACTCATTAAGTAGAGAAGGCTGTCCTAGAACTCACAGAGGTCCATGCGCCTCTGCTTCCTGAGTATTGGGATTAAAGGCATGGGCTATCACACCTAGCTAATAATTTGGATTTTTAAGAATTTTTTTGTGGCTTACCTAGCACAGACCAATATCCTCATAAATTTACACACATTGATCCATAATACATTTTTTTTATCAAGCTGAATCCAATAGTATGTAAAAAAAATTATTAATATGAGTGACCAGAAATCAGAAAATGGATGAAAACCATGAAGAGGCTTTTATGTGCCCTATGGTAGTAGGGCACATAAACCTATGCCAAGATGTTTGATGGGTGATGGTCTTTGGAGAAATCCAAATTAGGATTATGATGAGGTTACTGAATACCTATCAAATGACAAACAAACAAGTGACAATCGGGATGCTGGGGATGACACAGAGGAACTGTTGTTACGTCTTTATTGGAAGTAAAATTATATAGCTACCCGAAAATACTCAAGTAACTTCTTAAAAGGCATCTATCTATCTATCTATCTATCTATCTATCTATCTATCTATCTATCTATCTATCTATCTATCTACATTTATATATATGATGTTAGAAGAAAAAATAAAGGCCTATAAATAATATAAACAATAATGTAGTATAGCATGTTAATTCATTCAGTTAACCTATGACCTAAAAATCAACACTGAATTAATCTATGACCTAACAATTGTGCTCTTGATCACATAAAACGATCCTACACATGAACATCCACAGCATAACTGTAATAGTTAAATAAAAACCCCAAAAGCTCATGACTTTCAATAGATCGATGATTATACAAGAATTAAAATGAGCCAATAATTGTTGAAAGCAATAACTTGGTTGAATCTTCAAGGCATTATGCTGAGTGTGAAAGCCAATCTAAAAAGGTCACACACTGTATGGTTCTGTTTCTGCATCATTTTCTACATGGCAAAATTTTAGAGAATGGATTGGTGGTTGCCAGGGGTTAATAATGGTGGAGGAGAGGGTGAGGTGAGTGCTTTTATAAAAAGAAAACAAAAAGGGTGGGGAGGAATCCCTGTGCAAGTGGAGTGTCCTGTGTGTGATCTGATACACACACACACAGACACACAGACACACACACAGACACACACACAGACACACACACACACACACACACGCGCGCGCGCGCAGCAAAACTGTGCAGAATGAGGCACACAAACACTAATACATGTTGAATCAGGGAAATATGTATAAGGCATGTGTGTTGATCCAGTGCCAGCTACTGGCTTACAGTAGTATACTGTTTTGCAAAATAGGGAAACTGGTAGAACGTATCATACATATTATTCTTATGGCTGTATGGGAATCTGCAATTATATCAATAAAAGTTTGAAGTAACACACTGTTTTAAGTAATTGATAGGGCTTTATAGTTTCTTCTAACATTCTATTATCTATCTATCTATATCTATCTATCTATATATTTCTCAACACAATGACAAGATAAATTTGTTTGGGGACTTCTGAAAAAGGAAAAACATTAGGAAAAAGGGTAAATGGACTCCCAACGAGCACACACTTCTGGTTCCAGTCACCCAAGTCAGCCATTTGAGTGTCATCTTCAATTACAGGAATTGAGTTGGGAAGAAAACACT